TCCATATAACGCAGGTCATTAATGAGTCTTACTCCAGCTCTGAAGTCTCATTCTTCTTCATATAGTCTTGCTTCTTGATTTGTCTACTCAGAATACAGACTGAATAGATATGCAGAAAGGATACAACCCTGATGCACATGTTTCCTTTTTAAAACCATGTAATGTTCCCTTGCTTGCGTGTGAAATCAATGTTTAGAAGGGGTCGTGGTACTAGGGATATTGTAGCTGATGTTAGTTAGATGGATCTTAGCTGAAAGCAGAGAATACCAGAAAAATGTCTATCTGTGTTTCATTGATTATGCAAAGGTGTTAGACTGTGTGGATCATAACAAACTGTGGCTGACTCTGAGAAGAATGGGAATCCCAGAACACTTAATCGTTCTAATGCGAAACCTATACTTGGACTAAGAGGCAGTCGTCAGAACAGAGCAAGGAAACACTGCATGGTTCAAAATTGGGAAAGGCGTATGCCAGGGATGTGTCCTATCTCCATACCTTTTCAACCTGCATGCAGAACAGATTATCTGAGAGGCTGGGCTCTATGAGGAGAAGTGTGGTGTCAGGATTGGTAGAAGATCTATTAACAATCTGAGTTATACAGATGACACAACCCTGCTTGCTGAAACTGAGGAGGACCTGAAATGCTTGCTGCAGAGGGTCAAGGACGGCAGCCTTCATTATGGATTTAAGCTCAATGTCAAGAAGACAAAGATTCTCACCACTGGACCAATTGGCAGCATCGAGATGGATGGTGAAGAGACTGAGATTGTTAACAACTTTAGTCTGCTTGGTTCCACGGTCAACACTCTTGGCACCAACAGCCAGGAAATCAAAAAATGTATTGCGATTGGAAAGTCCACTGTTAGGAACCTCTCCAGAGTACTGAAGAGCAATGGTGTCACTCTGGAGACTAAGGTGCATCTGATACAGGCTATGGTCTTTGCAATCACTTGTTATGCATCAGAGAGTTGGACAATGACTAAAGAGGATAGAAGGAGAATTGATGCCTTGAGCTGTGGTGCTGGAGAAGAGTATTGAATGTATCATGGACTGCCAAGAAAACAAACAGATTCATCCTGGAGAGGGTTAAACCAGGCTACTCCTTGGAGGCAAGGATTCTGAGACTTCGTCTGACATACTTTGGACATGTTGTAAGGAGGGAGAGGTTCTTGGAGAGGGACATCATGCCTGGGAGGGTGGAGGGACGGCACAGGAGGGGAAGGCCCTCTATGAGGTGGATTGATTCTTCAATTTCCATTTGTCAAAATTACCCCAGTCACTGGGGTAATCAGGATGGGTGTGTCGGAGGCAGTGAGACTGGCACAGGATAGAGCAGGGTTTAGGGCTGTTGTACATAGGGTCGCTATGAGTTGCAAGCGACTCAACGGCACATAACAACAACAACAATGTTCCCATGTTCTGTGTAGACAACTGTTTCCTGATTTATGTATAGGTTTTGCATGAGCACAGTTAAGTGTTCTACAATTCTCAGTCTCAGTGTTACCCATATTTTGTGATGCTCCACATAAACACTGCTGATTAGTCAACAAAACACAAACATCTTCCTGATATTCTGTGCTTTCAATCAAGAGCCATCTGACATTAGCAATGATATCCCTTAACGTCATGGCCTCTTCTGAATCCAGCTTGAATTTCTGTCAGTTTTCTGTTGTACTGCTGTGATTACTTTTTTTAAAAATAAAATAATTGTCATCAAAATTTTACTTGTGATATTATATCGCTCAATAACTTTCACATTCTGTTGGAACATCTCTTTTGGAATGAAAAGAAACACGGATCTCTTTCAATTATTAACTATCTTCTAAGTTAATGGGCTGAGACTAGTAAGCTTGACAAGTGAGAAATATTCTCAAATGTGTTGATATTCCATAAATTAAATCTATCATCACTAAGTTAATTCTAACTTATAGTCACTGTACAGGACAGAGGAGCATTGGCCAATCAGGTGTGTAGTTTTCTGGGTTTGTTTTTTGGTGGTGTTTTTTGTCATTGTTGTTTTTTGTAGTGTAGTTTTGTTTTCTGTAATATTTTTATTTGAATGGAAGTTTATGAATCATTACCAGTTTTTAATTCAATCATTCACAAGCCTAAAGGGTTTCCAAGGCTTTAAGTAAACTGCCACACCTTTCTCCCATAGACCAGTCGGTGGGCTTAACCACTGACCTTCTGGTTAATAACCAAGAACTTGAACCACTACACCAATAGGGATCCTCAATACAGGCACAGGGATCCTTTTTCTTCTATGCAATTATATGGGTGAACTAAGATTCTTCAATTTCCATTTGTCTATTAGTAAGTAGTCGCAACAAGAAAAAAAATAGTGTTACTATGCAGTAACTTATTCATGGGAAGATTAAAAATCTAAGAAATAATAAGTTGATACAAGTATGTACAAAAGGAACAGTCACAGTTTCCTACAAAACTGGAAACACCATTAGAGGCATCTTTAATAAAGGCATCCTTTTTTTTTTTTTTACTCAGTAAGTATTATTTTATTTCTTTTTCAAAGACCAGCAGTTGATAGAAGTTTGGTTGGCCATAATACCAACACTGTATTCTTCTATCTATGGAAGACTCAGTTAGTCATATAGGGATGATTTTTAAAAGTTCAGATGACTTTTTGTGAAAACAATTCAGGTGACCAAGCACTGTCAGCTTCAGGCACTGAAGGTCGCCAACCTTCTGAAAACAGAAGGCAACATTTGACTTCTGAATGTGAACCAAGTCCAATAACAGAATCTCGTGCAGTCCAGCCTGAATATTCAGGTTTTTGTTTTTTAACTATTTTTGTAAGCTTATTTTTGAAATGTAGCTCATTGTTACCTAACCATTTATCTGTTCTCTGTTCAGCATATTTTAGTTTCTTTTTGGTAACTCTTTCTGATCAGGGGAATCACAGGCAGCAAGGCACCTTCTTAGACCTAGGGTTTGGAAGTGATGATTATGTGAAAGAAATTCTTTTATTGTGGTTGGGAGAGCCCATTCATCAATATCCGCCTCGATTTATTCAGCGTTAAGCTAGGGGCTGACAACCACTGATTGTGTAAAGGCATCCCTTATCAGTTACAGGCAACAATTCTAAAATGAGACCAAGGTTAAATTTTATATAAAGGAGATGCCGAACTACTAAGATAAGTTTAATGATTACCAGTTTCATTAGGTCTAAGTCGGCAGGCACTTCTATAGCCTATGATCCAGACCAATGCTCATTTTTTTTCATTTTTTATTTATTTTTTTTACAGAGGTTTTGGATTTCCATTCATTCATTGCCACAATTTTCTCCCTTCCCACCACTCCCCACCAGCTCGCTTCCCCCTCCGAAGAGAGAAAAAAGAAAAAAAAGAAAAAAATTCCTTCATTAGTATACAATTCCCACATCCCTTCCCCCCACCCCCACCCCGAGTACACTTCTCTATGCAACCTTAATTCTGGATTCCTGTGCTAACCATTTAGTTCATGACTCATTTATGAAAGCAGACTTATGGCCACAGATCTTCTAGCTTTGTAATAGAATTATTTCAATAAATTCAATGTATTAATATGATTTATAACTCACATACATAGATAGCAAGCACCATGGTTACAGAACTGAAATGAATTCTCTTGACTTCTTTCATTAGCAGGGTGAGTTTAGTCAAGTGACAATCTTTTTGAGATTCATTGTCTCCAAGTATAAAAACAAAATATTTGACTCAAACTCCAGGACAGATCACACATGCTGATTTCTTATGAACAAAATGCTACTAAAATGACAGTATAAAATGATTTTGCTTTACATTACAAATAAATATGTACAAAGATAGAAGGAGAGCTGATATTAGCAAAGAGACTGCAGAAGAGGCTCAGAAAAGGAAAGCAAATGGCAAGAAAGCCATAGAGCCCATGCAGAGGCTTACATACAGCTTGTCCAGAGAGTAGCTAACACTATGCTGTAATAGAGGACTTAGTGGTGAATGCCATAAGACATGACCAGGACTTAGCAGCTAGATACAAGAACAGAGAAAGAGAAAAAAGTTAAGAGAAGGAATGATAACTCTTATTCCCCCCACCCCACACACACTTTCAAGAAATATTTGTCTTGTTCACTATGGAGAGATGGGTAATAATAAAGAATAAAAATGTTACCTTTATCATAATCTAATGCACTTGATCTTTACATAGTTTTCAATATATTTTCTGTTAAAAAAAGTCCACTTAGGTCATGAATAAATGAGATTTTCTGGTTCTTCCACTAAACAAGGTAATGTACTCAGAAATCCTGGAAAGTGAAAGCATTTTCCTTGGCTGATTTCCAAAAATTATGTAACTAAGATCAAATCTAGTAAATGCAAGACAAGCGCCAAAAGATGACCATATATCTGGCCTTCTATCACCAAAAGACACATAAAAAAGCCAGTTTTTAGAAGATCTTTAAGGATGAAGAAATGATACAAAATTTCATGAGTTAACAGCATTTTGAACCACTCCTAAGAAAGGCTACGTGGAAGGTAGCTCAGGCACTTTCCATGCTTGGCCTGTCAAAGCAAAGGAAGACAGTTCACAGGTGAAGTGACCAAATATTCCATGGCATAGCACTGACGTGTAAGAACATGTATTAACTCCCACTCCTCACTCCCTACAAAGCACTATTAGTTGTCAGCAGCAACGTCAGACAACATACTATAAATCAAAAGTCTTTCCAAGTGAAATACATTATGAAAGTTACATGGCCCAAATCATGGATTAGAAAACAGAGAAACATGAGATGCTTTTAGCTGAAAGCCACAGATCTGGGGTACGAACACCATTCACTTATTGTTTTCCTTTCTTCCCCTGCTCCCGTGAGGAAATGATGACCAACTGAGCTGCACTGACTTTGCTAAGATGCTCTTTTTTTAAACGCAAACTGAAATTTTTTTAAAAATCTAAAATAGGAAGAAGGAGCAGAAATTAAGAAAAATATATGCTTGACACAAAATAATATTAATTGATAACTATACCTTTACCCCTTCTGGTGAATGCACATTCTCCTTTTTCTGACTTGGACTCATGGACTCATTTTCAACACTGAAAAACAAAAATCACAGTTTAATTTGAAATTGACAGAGAGTTACTAAAAGTGTGTCACGTCTGTATTTAAACAAGAAATTGAAAATGTACATGATTTGCAAAGCTCAACTATTAATATACAAATGTTATACTAAGAATGTGTTGAGGTAAACCTCAACACTTGAAAAACACATCAAAAAATACTAATCCTGGCTTCAGAAATTTTTTAGTTCCTCGAGATTCATTATGTTCTTAAGTTGATAAGCACCATCAGAGTAATGATGCGTCTGAACAAAAGAGCAATAGTGGGTCAGTAACCATCACACTGGAAAGTGTCAGTGCTCTATCACTTTATTTACACTGTTTATCCAAAGCCAAACCTTTTTTCCATGACTATGCCAAGTATTACTTGGAATAGAATAAATGTCTAGCCAGCAAACTGTAAACATAGAAGGTTCTCTAATGAATTCTGGGAACATTAAAACAGAAATAATCTTATCTAGCCCCACATATATCTGAGATGTTTTTTGTAGAAAAACAAAATCTCATTTTTCAGACAGTCTTTCATCTAGAATCCTTCATATATGTCTGATATATCATAATAAATTACTTCAGTACCAGTATGTACCTACTGGTACATACAAACTTTTTATCTAACTATATTTCTTTACATTTCATCTTTCTTTCAGACTTTCATACTCTTAAACAAACTGAGTAACTCTAAAGATTATCAAGGCTGTCGATCATGTACATAGGATTGTGTTTGATCTTAACCACACGAAAATGAACACTTCTGGATCTTTGTGAAACTGAGTCAAGCAAAGGAGAGTGATATGCAAACAGTCTTTAGTGGTACAGCTTGGTAGAAGTTATCACTGCTGACTGAGAAAAGGCTGTGGAGCACAGAGGAAATAAGAAAAGGGCAGGTTCTGCCTGATCAGTCAGGCACCCAAAGGGATGGGTAATAGAAAAGGTGGCATTTTCACTAAACCATTTTTGTTTGTTTTTAAGATGTAACTGGAGAACAGGAACATGCAACAGGCAGAGAGAGTACGGTTAGAAACAGGAATGGGACCAGAGGTTAGAAGTTCTGAGGTTATTAAGAACTAGCTCAATATATTACAGAACTGGCCCAACATGTTACAGAACTGTTCCAACATGTTACAAAAGTTGATCTTTAAAAAAAAAAAAAAGTTGATCTTTGACCAATATATTTTTTAAGAATATTTAGACATGGACTAAAAGGGCACAAAACCAATGGAATCTGGCCAAATAATAGTGGACAATCTAGAAAGATGCTGTCAATACATTAGATTAGATGAAGGACACCTCAAAGAAGAGAGGATAGGAAAATAAGACTACATAGACTTCCCATCTGTAAAATCCAGTGCTATTAAGTATCCAGAGAATGGCCAAAAGACAAGAAAACAGGCTAGAGACAATGAACATCTAGAAAATACATAGATTATAATTTCATTACATCATACACTCTACATGGGAAAACATAGACCAACAAGATATAGCCCTGCTAGTTAAGGTTTGCCTTATCAGTAGAAAAGCAATTAAAAAAAAAAAGTAGACAAGTGAGCAAAATTCATACATAAAAAAATTATATATGAAAGCCAGGGGACAGAAGTATAAATTAATGTGGGGTTTTATGGCAGAATTGTAATGTATACGTGGGGGTGTATATACACATAAAAAGAAAGAGAAACAGAGAACACTCTATTCTGGGCATTCAAATCCACCAGCAATTTACAAACTTGGAAACTTAATGGAAGATCAGCCATGAGTTGGTTCCAACGTAAAAGCAAGGAGATAGATGAGAGATGGATGGATGGATGGAGAGATGATAGATGATAGATAAGATAGGATTAATGTTTCAAATAGTTTCTATTTTCAGAGACTGATTCTTAATTTTGTTTTCTTATATTATTAGCCTTATCTTTTGGTAAAAAGTTTTTCGTTTGGCTTTCTTTTTCACTAATCTTAAAATGGTTGAAAAGGGAGGGAATGAAAGAGAGGAAGACCATTGATGAGATGGATTCATTCAGTGACTGGGTTAATGAAGGTAGGTATGTCAGAGACAATAAGGTTGGCACAGGATAGAGCAGGTTTCAAGGCTACTAGACATAGGGTTGTTTTGAGTGGCAAGTGACTTGACAGCAAATAACAACAACAAATCTTAATTGACAAAGGTATATTTAAGCCCAAAATTTTTAAAAGTACAAGACTGATACAATAAAACTAGGTCTTCAACTCAAACTCTACATATACACATACTTTAAGGACTTAAGTATGAATAAAATTTTAAATCTATGATTTTAAATATACTTAAGATGGAGCAAACAATGCTGAAGGTTGTACATTATTAATATACTAAGTACTACACAACTACATATTTAAAATGGCAAATTTTATGTATATATACAAATTCAAGCTGAAGCTGAGGAAACTTAAACCAAATCCACAGGAGCCAAAATATGACTTCGATTTCATACCACCTGAATTTAAGAATCATCTCAGGAACAGGTTTGAGGCCTTGAACACTAACGAGCGAAGACCAGATGAGTTGTGGGAGGATGTCAAAGATATCATTCAGGAAG